GGACCAGGAAATTAGGTTCTTTAACCTGTCATTTTTGAGCACATATTATGAAATGAGTACAGCACTAGGGGCACTTCCAAGACAGATACCCAAACCTAACTCTGTATTCCCATAGCATTTCCTTTTAAGGCACTAAGGCACTTAATATACCACATGTTAATCATTTATAAATGACATGCATATAGACTACTTTTAAATAGTTTGTGTCCATTATTAAACATACTCAAATTAGAACTTCAGATCAAAGTTCTAATATTTTATTACCACTATTTATGGAGAGTCTTGTATATACTTTAAGGTATACATGGAGATCACTGACCCAGGATATATGATCCTACAGAAAGGGACTTATTCTTATGTGTTTCATCTATGCCTAATTCATAACCAGATTTCAGTAAAAACTTGCTGAATAAATGAGTAAAGGAACAATCAAAATATAAATGCACAATAAAACTTTCTGACACACTACAGTTCATCAGCCCACTACTTAGCCCAAAATCAGTGCCAAATTCTAATTAAAGAAGGGGATTCGAAGGGCTGGGGCTCTAGCTCAGTGGCAGAGCCCTTGCCTTGTGAGGCACTAGGTTCAATTCTCAGCACCACATAAAAATAAACAAATAAAATAAAAGGATGCTGTCCATCTTAAAAAAAAAAAAAAAAGGAAATTAGAAAAATTTATCCACTATATTTTATTACCACAATTGAAAAGTCAAGAACCATTTAATTCAAAAAGCGTGTACATGCGCGCACTCTTATAATTTTATTTCCAGAGGATAAAAGGAAGGAAAGAACTAGAGAAGATTTTTTAAGATTTGAGTTCTGAAATGCTAAACAAACTGCAACTCACCTTTCTTTCAATACTTTTTGTTATTTGTATTATGTGGTACAGGGGCACTTTACCACTGAGCTACATCCCCAACCCAGGTGTTGTTTTGTTTTGTGAAATAGGTTCTTGCTAAATTGCTGAAGCCTCAAACTTGTAATCCTCCTGCTTTAGCCTCCCAAGTCACTAGGAATACAATTCTGCATCACTGTGCCCAGCACAATGTTTTTTAATGCTATGTTCCTAGAACTTAAAATATAATTTTAAGAATACACAAGTAGCCAGGAGGATAAGTTTAAGACCAGTTTGGGAAATTTAGTAAGATTCTGTCTCAAAAAAAGGGGGAGGGTATGAGATGGGGGAAGTGGGGGATAAGATGTAGTTAAGTAGTAACACACCCCTGGGTTCAGTACTGGAAAAAAAAAAAAATGCACAAGCTATAAACCAAGCATGATGACACAATCTGGTACTCCCAGATACTTGGGAGGGTATAATAGAAGGATCACAAGTTTGGGGTCAGCCTGGGCAAATCAGCAAGACTCTAGCTCAAACTGAATTTTTCTTAAAAGGGCTAGGATTGTAGTTCAGTGGCAGGGCTCTTGAGGCCCAAGTTCAAGATCCAGTACTCCCGCCCCCAAAAAAGCAACAGATGCAATAAGAGAAGTGAAATGAAGAATATAGATGCTAAAATTCTCAGCATCAACGGAATACAATAGGCATACTTCTCTAGAAATCGCATGCACTAACAAGAGTCAAGTCCTCCCTTATGCTCTACTCAAGATATGAACCCAAAATAAAAAGCTACCACTTACACATCTCCTTAAAAATGTTTAAAGGTATACTTTCAGACAACATGTTAAGGTTTATGTAACTGACATACAGTCTACCTAAAATAGGTTGCAAATCCAATCTTCCTAATTTCTAGAGCTTCTCAAATGTAAATGAGTCACTAGGCATCCTTTCACTCAGATCCAGAGTTATCTGTCATTAACATAAGACTTCATTTCTAAGGTCCTCTTTGCAAGATAAATTGCCTACAATTCCATGTTTGTTTGTGATAATACTTATTGGAGTGTATTTTTAATGCTATTTAATTATGAACAAGCAATAGTATTCAATCATTTAGTTAGAGCCAAGGAACAAATATTTCAGTAGTTTCATCAAGCTCATTTTTTACTTGTATAATGATTCACATAGTTCACATTAGAGTAATGTGAAATGACAAATCCTATTTCCCTGACACCACTCACCTTATACACTATAAACAAACAAATGAAACTAAGTGATGCAGATTTTAGTATTTATGTAGATTATTCAACTGCCAATAAAAGGTTTTCAGATCATTTTTTAGTTTCATCAAAAGCTCTCTAAGTTGAGAGTGGTAGCAGGAAGCGGCTTGGGAGGTTGAGGCAGGAGAATCCTTCAGTTCAGGATATCAAAACAAAAGGGGCTGGGGTTGTGGTTCAGCGGTAGAGTCCCGCATGCACATGCGAGGGACCCTGGGTTCGATCCTCAGCACCACGTAAAAAATAAATGAGTGAAATAAAGGTATTGTGAATAAATATTTTTAAAAATAAATAAATAAAAGTGACCCTTTTAAAAAAAATTAAAAAGGCCCTGGGGTTGTGGCTCAGCAGTAGAGCACTCACCTAGTGCCTAGCACTTGTGAGGCGGTGGGTTCAATCGTCAGTACCACATAAAAATAAATAAATAAAATAAAGGTTATGTGTCCAACTACAACTAAAAAAAATATTTTAAAAAAATCTCTATAAACAACTTCTGTAACCTTTCTGAAAGAAATTCTACATTAAAGTCCCACATTTACTTGAGTAAACAGCACCATATTTAAGTTACCTACTTTAAAAAAATAAAAAGAAAAAGGCTCCTTGTTTACATTTAGAAATGCTACTTTGTAGCCCACCAAGGTGGTATATACCTGTAATCCCAGCTAATTCTGAGGATGAGGCAGAAAGATTGAAAATTCTAAATCAGCCTGGGCAATTTAGCAAGACCCTGTCCCAAATTTAAATAAAAAAGAACAGGGATATAGCTCAATGGTAGAGCTTCTCCCTAACATGGACAAGGCCCTGAGTCCAATAACCAGAACTGAAAAAAAAAAAAAAATGATGATGGAATGCTACTTTATCAACTTGTTCTTCTTTTTTGCTTTAATTTTCCTCTAAACTGGTAAAAAGCATTCAATCTTTACAAATAAAGTTTTAACAAATAATTTGTTCAAATACATGTTTTAAAATTCAACAGAAAGAGGGGCTGGGGGTGGAGCTCAGCAGTAGAGTGCTCCTCCAATGCATAAGGCACTGGGTTTGATCCTCAGCATCACATAAAAATTAAAAAATAGATTATACTGTGTCCATCTACAACTAAAATTTTTTTTAAAATTCAACAGAAACTACATAATAAATTGAACAAAAACCTCAGTTAAATAAGTTTAGAATGCATCATTAACTTCGTTTACACTTAAAAATACAGACTTAGTTTTATATAATTAAGCAAGCTAGAGTTGGGTAAAAGTTAACTTTAGAATTTTTTAATGCCAGGTGCATCAATGGCATTCACACCCTCAAACTTTAGAAACACTTCTGAACCTCAAAGCTGTAACTCAGTTTGACTGATGTCCTCTTACCATGTAAGCCATTGCCTAATTGAGGCCAGACCTGTCAGGCTCAACAGCATCCCGGAAATGACTAGCCTACTAGAGCTGGAAACACATCAAGAATTTGGAATATTTCTCATATTGAGGCAGGGGGGGAAAAAAAAGTTCAAATGAGATTGTGCTTAAGAACAATCATTATACTGTTCTGTAGGGGGAAAAAAGATATAAAAGGTATATTTTTTGTTATTGTGTTAAGTCCACAACAAATACATCTAAAATTCTGTATGTTATTATCTTGTGATGGTCCACTTATCCCTCATATATATATATATATATATATATATATATATATATATATATATTCATTCTAATTTTTGAATGCCTTTTAATCTGATTTTCATTTTATATCCTTAGCTACTAAAACCACCTGGAGAGTGGCCGGTTTCTTGACTTAGAAACCTGTTAGTAATAATGCCTAGCACCTAATCTGCTTAATGTTCACTTCTTACCAAGAAAATCCATTAAACGTCGAAAAGAAATACAAGGCACACACGTATACACACACTCAAATCCCAGTCATGAAAAATTAAGTCACATTCCGGCCATAAACTGTGCAACAGACACTTCCAGTTAGCGTGTGCTTTAATGATCATGGACAGCGGTATCAAAGTAAGTGGTAGGGGGTTGGGGCTGTTAACAACACACTGTGTATCAAAGCCAATAGTAGCAGGCCAGGACTGGCAGCAAGGCCAGTGTCTAAAGGGAGCTATACCACAGTATCACAATGCTGGATTTCCGAATGCCATTTAGAGGGTGGGGGGGATTAGACTGGGAATCAAGTGCAGTTTAAAAAAAAAAAAAAAAAAACTCAACGTCTGAAGAGATGAAACCTAAGACAAGGTCTTGTGGCAACACCAGCTGTCCAGTCTCATCTCACCTCAAACACAACTTCATTTCAGGTCCTTCTTATCAAAGTCAGCCGCTCAAGGGTGAGCGATGGCAGGAGTGAATGGCCATAGTTCTCAAAGAGACAGGCAAAGGCCCTTAGAAAAAAGCAGACTCCCCAATAGGAAGGGAGTTCTAGCTGCAAAGAGCGCTTTGCAGCCGCCTCGAGTCTCTCCTTCCAGCCAAAGCTGTTAGGAACGAGCTTAGGATATTGCTGGAGGTTTTTATAAAGGAGTGATATGAAAAAAAAAAAAAAAATGGCAGTGAAGGATGAAGGGGGCTGCAAGGGTTGGGAGCTACCCAAGAAAAGCGGGGAGAGGAGGTCTTAACTGGACACAGCCAGGATTAGCAACGCCACCAGTAAGCACAGGCACTGCCTTGCAAGCCCTGGATACCCCTCTCTCTGGGAAAGCTTCGCCCGTTCCATAAGGTCCCAATTCCCAAACACAGCTTCCCACCCAACCTCTCTCCCCGAGAATATTCCCCCTGCCGGCCTCCTCTGCCTTCCGCCTCAGGCGCTCCACGCCCTCAACCTCCTCTCCCTCCCCTGGTCACCCACCCGCAGGGCAGCCCGTCGCCGGCCTCCCCGGGAGCTCGCCCAGACCCCTCCCCCCTCACCTCTCCTCAGCGCCTCCTCGTAGCTGAGGAATCCGATCCGTGACTCCTTGGCGCCCATGCTCCCCTCATCCCCTCGGCCGGGGGTCGGAGCCTGATCTCGCCCCCACCCCCCGCCCGCCTTCTCCTCGGCGTCCTGGGGTGACGGTGTTGGCGTCCCCCGACCCCCTCCTCCCCCAACACTAACAAGTGCGGCTACTGCCCCGGCGGGCGGCTCCTCCCGGCCGCCGCCACCGCCTCCATGCCGAATCACGTGACCTGCTCCCACCCCGCCCCCTTCCCTTCCCTCCTACTCCGCCCTTCTCCTCTCTCCTCCCTTCCTTTCCCTCTTCACGCCCTCTTCCCGCCCCTCGGCCCCCCTCCCGCCAGCCCCGCCGAGGGTCACCTGACCCGAGGCCGGGGATTGTTCCGGGTAATGGCCGCCCGGGGCCACACTCCGCCCCGCCCCACGCCAACCGCGCGCAGGAGCGCAAGGGCGGGGCCGCACCACCGCACGTAACGCATCATCGTCTTCTCGCCAATCCCAGGACGCGAGGCCCGAGGGGGCGTCTAGATGGAGGGAGGGAAGTGACTTCCGGGGCGCTCGGGGACTATCCCCGTCGCCCTCGCTTTCTGGGCTCCACGGCCCGAGCGCCGACTGTTGGTGCATCTTCGGCTGCGACCCACTATGGAAGACGGGAGGGATCTTAAGGAGCGGGGGTCTGAGGGGTGCGGTTCGTCAGAAAAAAGAATGGGCAGGCAAGGAACTCCTAATGTTTAGGGGGTTTTTTGACTGGAAGTTGTGAAAGGAAAGAAGACTCTCAAGGCTTTCCTCTGACGAAAGAACTCATTCCCAGTGGGGAGATCCCTAAGGAAAGCAAATCTTGTAACAAAGTGGAGAGCGCGCCTTCCTTTCCATGTCATCTCCCCCGCCCGCCCAGCTGCCTTGGCTTTCCTTTTTCATCCGCAGATCCAAGCGCTGGTCCCCCACTCCAGCTTCTGGGCTCCGAGCCTACCCCTCTCTTGTTCTTTGGGAAGCGCTCTGCCAAAGGCTTATCCTGCTTCATTGCGAGAGTCGCCCTCCTCCAGGAGTGACAGTTCCAGGGTGGAGTGACTTGCAGTTTTTTTTTTTTTTTTTTTTTTTTTTATGGTAAAATATATGTAACGATGTACCATTTGGGTCATTTCTTGTGAATTCAGTGATATGAATCATCATGCAGCCGTTAACCTCATCCATCCTGGGGCCTTTTCTTCATCTTGCAGGACTGAAAGTTATATTCCCCTGAACAAATAATTCTCCATCATCCCCCACACCAGTTCATGGCCACCACTCTCCTTTGTCTCTATTAATCTGACTACTCGAGTATTTCCTATGAATGGAACTATATTTCCCCTTTTGTGCCTGACTTATTTCACTTGGCAATTCCCAGGCTCATCTATGTAGCACATGTCAAACTTTCACAGGTTTACCATATGCTCTAACAATTCCACTTAAGGATATATACCTCAAAGAATTCAAAGAAAGGAATCTGCACCCATGTTTATGGCAGCGTTATGCACAGTAGCCAAGAGATGAAAACAACGGAAGTGTCATGAATGTGTAGACAAAATGTAACATATAAATACAATGGCATATTACAATATAAAGCTTCTGGTTAGGAAACAACATTGAAAAATGACCATCTGGATTAGATTTGACTCAACGTGCCAACTAGGTAATTTAGGGCCAGCAAAAGGATTCTAGTTCCTAAAGCCAACAGATTATTAAATGCCCTGCCAGGGAAAGGTAATATTCTGTTTCTCACCTTTCCTGGCAGACCAGATCAGCAGCGTGGCATTAGTCACAACGCTGCCCTTTCCAGTTTACTGTGAGGCAGTTAATTTTAAGACCTACGATTAGCTGCATTGCTGAAAGGCCATGAATCAGAGGGTTGGGAATGTATTTCAGAGCCTTTAATTTCCAGGTCATCAGTTCGGTGTAGACAGCCCACAGTCTTCAGACAAAACAACTCAGTCATCTTCAGTCTACACAGTATGGGTGCTGACTTAGATTATCATAATTAATGGGAAGTGAATCTAGAGGAAAAGTGTAACAAGAGAAAAGACTCCTGGAGAGTTTAGTTACAATGTGCTGGAAACATTATTACTGTCCTAAACAATTAGTACATAAAAATGACCTTGCTGTATGAAGGATTGACTTGGGTGTTTAGCTACTCAATTGTTGAAGCAACTTATTTTCTCTTGTGACACTCACCCACTTGCAAGGTGAGACTAATATTGGAATTTATCTCATGCGATAATAAATTATTACAAAACACTCAGGAAATAGTAGAGTAAAACTTTATAATGTAAGATTCAGAGTAGTACAAACACTTGGGAACTTTTAAATTTTCATACTTAAGTTTCAGGTCTGGCTTCCTCAAGGGCTATAAAAATTTTCACTCCATCACAGAATTTATCATGGATTAAAAATTGTGAGTTGAGATAGCAAACTAAGAAATGCTTTTTCTCTCCTTTGTCTAAGTTAAATTAAGCATATTATTAAAGGCACTGAGGCAGGTAGTTTTATCTGATGGGAATTTAAGATGTTAGGCTAGGATCAAAATCTGCATTTTGATTTGTATTCACAAAATCAGAAATCTAATGTTAAACATTCCTTTATAACTTAAAATTGATACAGTACTTAAGTTTGATGATGTAGAAAATCTAAAGTCTACTTGTCATGCTGAAAAGAATTCTATTAATCTTTTAGTTTGTTCAGTTTCACTTAATCCATAGAAGAGTTGGCTGGCCACCTCACTTGGAGCATTCGGTTGTACTTAGGAAACCATCGCTTTAACTATAATTACATGCCTGTGAAAGGGTTGTGCATACAAAGATTTAAAGCATGGCAGATTGCTATGTAATTTCTACTTCCAGTTGGGCAACCTAAATGACAGTGTTCCTTAGTTTATGCTCCCAGAGAAATGACATAAGAATAGGACAGTCATTTTAGAACTTGCCAAAGAAGCTTAGCCAAATAGAGATAGGGAAGCCAATAGAATAAAGAAGCGTGGAATGGCACCTGATCTCTGTTTAACTTTTTTGTTTGTTTGGTTTTTGTATTGGAGATTGAACGCAGGGACACTCAACCACTGAACCAATTTTGTATTTTTATTTAGAGACAGGGTCTGAGTTGCTTAGCACCTTGTTTTTGCTAAGGTTGGCTTTGAACTCATAATCCTCCTGAAGCCTCCTGAGCCACTGGGATTACAGGCATGCACCACTGCACCTGGCCTGCCCTATGTATAACTTGATTGCTGCAACATGAGGCCAACACTCTATCAAAGTGTGACTATACAGTAAGAGAACTAATTTTCCAGTATTAGGGACCTGTTACCTTATAATGGCACATAATGAAGATGTTTTTATTTGCACTGAAGAATGTTGACTTGCCAGGTGCAGTGGCATATACTTGTAATCCCAGTTACTAGGGAGTCTAAAGCCAAAGAGTCACAAGTTTGAGGCAATTTAGTGGGATGCTGTCTTAAAAAAATATTTTAAAGGACTAGGGATAGAGCTCATTGGTAGAGTGCCCCTGAGTTCAATCCTAAGTATCACAAAACAATAACTTCAAACTATTTTTATGCAAATAACACATGCTCATTTAAAAAATTTCCATCAGTAGTCAAGTGTTTATATATAAAAGATTTCATAGAGGTAAGTGTATCATTCCAATTTTCATGACTACACTCATGATATTTTCCATGCATATAAAATATACAAATGTACTTCCTTTTTTAACATACTTTTTCATGGTCTATATATTCTCATCTAAAGTCCTTTATTTCACTCACCTGTAAATCATAACTGCTTTTTATGTAAATATACCTTACTCTTTATCATATGTATATTATGCCATTGCATGCATTTTGTAGTCATCTATTGAATATTAGATTGTTTCAATGTTTAAGTATTACATTCTAGACAAATAAAATCTTTAATAAATACCCTGCAATAACTATCCTTGTTTTCATATGTAAGTCTATCTATAAACAGACTTTCCAGAAATAAAATTGCATCCCCAGCCCTCACCTTTAAACCTTTTGATAGATGTTGCCAAATTGCTTGCCTAAAAAGTGGGACCAATTGTATTCTAATAAAGAGTATCTTTAGGGCTGGGGATGTGGCTCAAGCGGTAGCGCGCTTGCCTGGCATGCGTGGGGCCCGAGTTCCATCCTCAGCACCACATACAAACAAAGATGTTGTGTCCGCCGAGAATTAAAAATAATTCTCTCTCTCTCTCTCACACACTCTTTCAAAAAAAAAAAAAAAAGAGTATCTTTAACCACACCAGGCAACCACATCTCACATCTTGTGTGGTGCCAGCTGCATCCCGGAGACACGATGGTGTAAACATACTAAACAGATTTGGCCATGTTGCTCACCTGGTCACAGGGGCTGCTTCCGACTCTGAAAAAGTGGATATTGTCATCATCAATGACCCCTTATTGACATCAACTATATAGTCTACATGTTCCAGTATGATTCCACTCAGAGCAAATTCAGTGACACAGTTAAGTCTGAGAACAGGATGCTTGTCATAAATGGAAACTCCATCTTCATCTTCCAGGAGCAAGATTCTATCAACATCAAATAGGGTGATGCTGATACTGAATATGCTGTGGAGTCCACTGGGGTCACCCCTTTGGTTTTTTTTTGTTGTTGTTTTGTTATTTTGTTGTTGTTGTTTTTGTTTTTTAAGAAAGAGAGAGAGAGAGAGAGAGAGAGAGAGAGAGAGAGAGAGAGAGAGAGAGAGAGAGAATTTTAATATTTATTTTTTAGTTTTCGGCGGACACAACATCTTTGTTTATATGTGGTGCTGAGGATCGAACTCGGGCCCCACGCATGCCAGGCAAGCGCGCTACCGCTTGAGCCACATCCCCAGCCCCGCCCCTTTGTTTTTGACAGGTGTAAACCATGAGAAGTATGACTCCCTCAAGATCAGTAGCGATTAATTCTGTGCCACTAACTTCTTAGCCACCTGACCATGGTCATCCAAAACAGTTTTGGCCTTGTAGAGGGACTCATGATCACCGTCCATACCGTCGCTGTCACTCAGACCATGGATGGCCCTCTGGGAAACTGGGGTGTGATGGCTATTACGGTGCCCAGAACATAGTTGAGTCTATCAGAGCTACCAATGCTTTGAGCAAGGTCATCCCTGAACCGAATAGGAAGCTTACCAGAATACCTTCCATGTGCCCACCCACAATGTGTCAGACTTTA